CCCCCCCACCCCCTCCCCCCCTCCCCCGAGCTGGTAGCCTTGCCCCTGTAGGATCCGGGCATCTCTGAAAGCTTGGCCTTTCCTATCCGTGAAAGGGGCACTCGCCCTCTCTGAGGCTCGGTGCTTCAGCGGACAAACGTGCAAACGGGCATAATGAGGAGTCAAAGGTGGCATGGTGTGGAAAGCGCCTGGCACGCCTCTGGTCCAAGGCGATGGTGGTTGTGGCCATGGGGCTGGCACTCCAGCCGCGAGTCTCACCGGGATGGCCGTAATGAAGAAGTTCCAGGGAAGGAGAGTGCCCAGCCCCAGGATAAAGAAGCTGATCCCGACCAGGTGGTAGCTGTGGGGATCAGTCAGAAGGTCACCCCTAGGACGCGACGCCTCGGCTGCCGCCCCCCCTCCACGCCTCCCAGGTCGCCCCCTCCGGAGAGCGGACTACAACCCCCATCACTCCGGCTCAGGCAGCCCAGGGAGGCGGCTGATGGGAATTGTAGTTCCATCCAGTCCGCTTTGAGCCTTGGAGCGCCCGAAGGGAGCGGGTCTGCGCTGCCCACCGCCCCCCGGATCCTCGTCCGCACCCCACCCAGCGCCCAACTCGCCTGTCCTGTGGGGCGTCTCCTCGCGCCATGGCCGCCCAGCGGGATGCGCCGGGGTGGGAAGGAGGTTGGGTGCTGCACCTGCAGCTACGCCGGGGCCCGGGGGCCAGAAAACCCGGGAGGCTGTGTCTTGCGGGCGGTAGACAGAGCGCGGAGGGGGTCGAGTCTCCCCGAAAGGGGCGGGGACGAAGCGGGAGCTGGGGAGGAAGGCCTGGAACGGTTTCCTCGGGTGTCAAGCTCCGCAGGATCGAACCTCGCTCCGCCCCCGGGGCGGAGACAGAGGGTCGCACCACCCCTCCCTACCTCCCCCCGGCGGGGACTCCGGACTCCAGCCTGGGACCCTGCTCGACCTCGCGGGCCCGGCACGCACGGCTACCCTCGCCATCCCGTGCGGCTTACAGGCGGCTGCCCCGGGAAGGTCCCCTGCTGCCTCCCCTCTCCGCGGGCGCCCGTCTCGGACCTCTGCGGTTTGAATATGCAGATATGCACCCCTCTGCGGTGGGGGAGGTACCCCGCCCCTCCTCCGTCCAGAGCTGGGGAGCCGACCTGGTGCGGCTTCTTCCCCCGCCGCCAGCTCGGAGGTGGTGCCAGAGCCGTGCCGCGCGGGGTGACGCCGAGCCCTCCGGGGAGCCGGCTCGCCCAGGGGTAACCTGAGCGTCTGCCGCCAGGGGTCCTGGAGGGCTGCGCGGAGCTGGGTGCTTCGGGAGACCGAGGAGAGGGCCAGGCGTCCCCAGGCGGGTCTGGAAGACAGACAGACAGACAGACTGCCTCTTCTCCTCCAAGCGGGTGCCCGGAGAAGCTCCGTGTCTTTGGGGGCGCACTGCGGAGGCGTGGGCCCAGCGGGGCATCCGGGCGGGCTTCCCGGTGACCGAGGAGCTGCGTTCGGGGCAGCAAGGGGTTAAGCAAAGGCTCAGGAGGAAAGGGTGACCCGGAGGTGCCCTCCCACCACCGCCGCTAAACGAGCGAGCGAACAAACAAACAAACAAACAACTTTCGGCGATCCCGGGTCTCATCACATCAAACCTATGAAGATGCACCTACCTCCCACCTCTTTTTTTTTTTTTTTTTTTTCTGTGCAAAACTTTGAAAAGATTATAGACCATGGCCATTTTGAAATTAATTTGCTCTAACTCATGGAATTTACAAGTGGGTTTGTTTGCTCCGCAGTCACGGTGCATATAAATGCTGATCTAAATTGCAAATTACTGCCATAAGTAATGAAATTTTATGATCCCTTCCAGATTACGTGTGTGTGTGTGTGTGTGTGTGTGTGTGTGTGTGTGT